TCATCAGCAAGGCGTATCTGCAACCTCGAAGGAACTCATGTCCCTTCTGGGATTCGAACAGTGGTGACGTCTCTGACTGCAGCACTGGGTGATGTGGACTCGAATCTCAGAAGGGACATGAGTTCCTTCGAGATTGCAGATACGCCTTGCTAACTGATTAGTGCCAACTAGGACGAAACCTAGGTCGAGGAAGGCTTCCTGTTGCCGATCGCCTCCAACCATCTAATACCAACAATTCACAGTGCACCGTGATGGCGAGCCACCTAGCAGTAGTGGCCACATTGCAAGCTTGACTGATAGAATTCAATCTGCACCGAAGATAGGACTTGACACATTACACTAGTTACTGACTAATGTCCAATCAACAATTAATTTATCTAAGGTGTACGCAGTTGAAGAGAGAGAATCCCTGAAATAAAGCGAGCTCCTATTATCCTGCAAGTATGTTCGTTCTTTCTTTATTCAAAAATAAAATAAATTAGTTTGCTTGATAGCATCTAATGCGTTGAACAATATACTAATTATCTAATTATAAATGAACATTTCTAAAATTCAAGTGAATACACTTTGTCTGCATATATTTCCAATGCATTTTTGATTTGTTACGGAATTGAGTTAAAGTGAGTTTTCAGTGGCCAAAGAGTTAAAAAAAGAGTCAGCTGAAGAAGAACATTATTCTAGACATTAACCTAAATAAAATAGAACGCTTATGCATGCATTAAATATTTGCGTTGTTTGCATACCTTGGAATTAAGAAAAGATATGCTTTTAAGATCAATCAACAACTTACCCATTTCATGAAGTGTCAGATTACACTCCTTAAATGAGGTTAACTCTGTAAATGAATGTAACGCATTGAATTCATAATTATGTCTACAGTATTTAAAAACAAAGTCAAATCATTCCGGTTTTGTGGTATGACATTTCATTGCTAAACGAGGTAAAGAGTTTCACTTCAGTCATTTCAAGGGACAAGTTGATTAGAGAAAAAATCTGATGTAAAATATGCATTCCTTAGGTACTCCATAGCAAAGCATAATAATTGCTGTTACAGATATGAAATAGCTCATTGACTTTTTAGGTCATATAAGCAACTATTTAATTGAATTCAATCGACGGGAAAATCTAAAATTCAATAAAATAATTACTATGGTCTAGTGGATAACACTTCGGTGTTTGAAACTATGGGCACTGGGTTCGATCCTCGGTGGGAACATCACCACTCACTCACTGGGGAATGCAGGTACATCCAACTAACGAGTCCCGAATGGGACGAAATGCACATCCTGGATTCCACTGCTTGCCATCAGCCACCAATTAAATCTATATAAGTAACTGTTGAGCTGATAGGCAAAGAGCAGATACTTATTTGAAATCTCTTTTGAACGTACAATCCAACTCACATTCAATTGGGAGTTAGGAAAACTAATGAAATCCTAGTGATTATGTTTACTTAATGTGAGGCATTATCTAGAAGGAAGTGTACAAGTGAAGATTAAGAAACGGAAGTTAGTATTACGTAAAAGATGTAAAAACGATTTAATCGACTTTTATCATAAAAATGAACATAAGATTAACGAAGACAATAAAGTATTGAAGTGAAATCTGCATTAGAAATGAGTTATTAGTAAAATACAGTTAGGAATATCACACTGGCCATACTCAGAGAAGTGAGTGTGTGCACTGCTTTTGAACAAGGAGATCAGTTATATGGAGTCCTGACATCATAGTGATTAAGCTATACATAGACGGTGTATTTGAAGCTACACTAATAGGGAAGTCTGTAGATAAATTTAAAAACTTCATGTAGAGTTGCTCAGGGAAGTCGACAAGAGATCCATTGATATCTGTTTCTTCTGCTATGATTCAAGCTGGAAAATTTTAGAAAATAAGCCTATTGAGCTGAAGATCAATAAATTATGCTCAACAGGGACAAGTGATCTGGTAAATTAAGGCTTCACTGTCATCCGCTTTATATTGTTTTCTTTCTGGATAATTCGTCATAATACGCAGACTATTTTCTAGAACACAGTTGCCGCTAATATATCTTGTTGCTTTCAAATCTATATCCGTTAGAGAAAACTATGAAATTATATATATATATATATATTCCTTTAATTCCTAGAGGAACATAGGGCTTCAACCGCTCGTCTCCATTGCCTTCTTTTTTCTGCCAACTTTTTCACCCCACTCCAAGTCTGCCCACATGCTTTCATCTCCTCTTCATATGACCTCCTCCAAGTTACGCTCCCACTGACGACCGACTTGCCGCTTCCCTTTCGAGTTCCACTCGAGCAATGGCTTGTCTAATGATGCCACTTGATGGTTTCCTCAGAGTATGGCCAGCCAATCCACCTCCATTTCTTCTTGCCTATTTGTTTCACAATCGGTTCCTAGTTGGTTCGCTCATTGCCAGAGATCCCTCTTTCTAATCTCTTCTGGTCATCTGATCTTGAGTAGTATTGAGTGAAGACAACTGTTAATGAAGGTCTGAAGTATATATATATATATATATATATATACCAATTGTGCAACAAATAAGCAGGAAGAAATGGAGGTGGATTGGCTGGCCATACTCTGAGGAAACCGTCGAGTGGCATCATTAGACAAGCCATTGCTCGAGTGGAACTCGAAAGGGAAGCGGCGAGTTGGTCGTCAGTGGGAGGGTAACTTGGAGGAGGTCATGTGAAGAGGAGATGAAAGCATGTGGGTAGACTTGGAGCCAGGTGAAAACGTTGTCAGAGAACTGAACGCAATGGAGACGCGTGGCTGAAGCCCTATGTTCCTCTAGGAATTAAAGGAAATTATATATATATATAAATTTATAGATAGTCAGTTGGAAATTATTCGGCAGTGAATTCCACCTCCCTAATTTAATGGTAGTGTGTTCGCATCACTCACCCCAGACCTTCAGATTTATCAATTCGTAGTGGTATACTAAAGTTAAAGAATCAATGTTCGTTACAAAATTTGAGCCCAATATTCTTTCACTTTTAATGACTATCTAATTTCCTGTAATTAATAAAGAATTCAACCTACACACCCAAAACATCCAGTTTTATTTTAGTTTCCGAAGTAATGAGATAAATATAGAGCTAATTTTAATGCTTGCTTGTAAGAAAAGTTAGTTGTAACAAAATTTATAGACTGAACTAATAAATAATTATAAGTCTACATAAGAAGGCGGACAGTGGTAGGGCGCAAAATTGCTTATAAGTTGAAAGGTAGAAAGCAAACCACTTAGATAGGAAATTCCAACAACTTGGATTTAAATGGAGGTAGGTACACTTGAAAGTATAACAGTATATCCAAGTAACAATGAAAGTGAATGAGAAAATTTGTTCGATATTTAAACTGACCAATCAAAAGCACAAGATGAAATCATTTAGAATTTCAATAAACAGAATATAACCTAAACAGTATATTTATGTAATGAAGAACATTAAACTATGATAAACTTGTGGGCAAGACAATCACACTGATCAGCTTTGTGCTGGCTGCATGTTAAGGTTGAAATTGAACATAAGATGAAATGCATAGTTTACTTAAGAATAATAAATAAAACATAAGTAGAAGATAGTAAGATGAACAAGTTAAACGTTAAAGTGTATTATTAGAGTGATGCACTTTAGTTGTTTTCTCTATTTTTTTTCGAAAATTCTCGACGGCCACATCAGCATCTGAGAACTATAACCGTTCTCACTAGGAATTTAAGCCAACAGCCATTGTGGTGAGAGTTGGCTCCTAGCCAAATTGGTAGACAGCAATTTACGTCAATGTATATGTCCCCAATATTGGTCATAAGAAAAAAAGAACAAAGTCCGAACCAACAACCAATCACAGCTTACTTTGCGTAGGTGGATACAGTTAGCAGATGGATAATCTGAACTTCAAGAAACGGCCACAAAGAGATGAAAAATTAACGTTCTGAGAGAAACCACCAATCAGAAGACTATGTTTTTCTGCTAACAACAATCTATAATAATGTACGTGAAAATCTACAAATATGTGTTGATTTCCTAAATAAAGGATCTGTTGCTTGGCCCTTGTCTTCTGTTGTTACAGTATAATGCTGGATTCGCATTTCATCCTATTCCGGCTCCCTCATCTGGATGCACTTGCGGACCACAGTGATTAGTAATGTTCTCACAGAGACTCGAAGCCCGTACTGTTCGCTTCAAACGCTAGGGAGTTATCCACTTGGCCATTTGGGCTACGAAATCCACTACTTCTAAAACTGGTTTCAGTTAATAACCGTTTAAGTTTATCTGGTATTTTCAGTTGATTGACTGTATTGGACCAAAGTGTTTAAAATCACTTCGTGACCAAAGTGACCCAAGGTGTAATTTCTGGGCGGTTCAAGTGAAGGGTACTCAGTTCGAGTCTCTGTGTTAACACCATCACTCACTGGAGATAGCAAGTATGACCATCTGGGGAATCCGAAATCGGGCGAAATGCACACTCTGCTAGTCGGCACCCACTAACCAGTGCCAACAGAGTGTTTAGAGTGGAAGACTGAAAAATTGTAACAAAACTGTCACATACTTTAAGTCACATATTACGACGTTAACTACAGGTTGAAAGAAGTGTTATCAACAATGAAACTGAATTTGAGCATGATACCGCCGTCAATCAAGAATATTGGTTATCACTTACAAACAGTGACTAAGTTCTGTTAAAATTCCAATACATCTAATACTAGTATTCTGATTTCAAAATATTATTCACGACGAAATAATCAACTGATGATATCGACCCTTAAAATCAACACAATTAATAAATTAATACAAACGGACAATATTTTAAAAAAATCAATATTTGGCTATCAGAATAAATGATGATGCTGTCTATCACAAGAGTCTCTATCCAACGTGTATGATCTGGTACATAATAAACACATGTATTTATGAAAACCTGTTTATGCAATCTGAGAAATGATAAGCTATTTGTGCATTAATACACTAAAGTTGATTTATATCCCAATTTTGAAATTGACTTACATTATTTTCAAACCATGAGCGTATATTGCTTTTTGGACTGACTGAATGAAATCCATTTGTCAACTTTGATTGTACTGTGCCATTATTTTGTTCAGGTATAGGCGATTTCGATTGGTTGTCTAAACTCAGTCTGAGATATTTCTCCATGATATCATTGTTACCAGTATGACCATTTTGATTTATATTTGAATTTGATTGATTTTTTATCTGAAGCAGACATCCTTCTACATTGTCCCTTGGTGAACATTTTCCATTGAGGAGATTAACAGCTGGCAAATAAAAGAGAGAACACAAAACACTTCATGAAATTCATAGTGAAATTCAAGTAAGATGATTCCTATAAGAATTTGTTTCAGGAGTAACTTTGTGGTGAGAGGTGGCTGCTAGCCAAATTGGTAGGCAGTAATTTACGTCCCCAATATTGGTTTTGAGAAAAATAAGAACAAAGACTAATTCAACAAACAACCACAGCACACTTTCCGTAGGCGGATACAGTTAACATATAGATGATCTGACATTCAAGAAACAGTCACAAAGAGATGCATGGTTAATTTTCTGTGAGAAACAACCACCAGTCAGAAGACTGTATTCTTCTGCTAACAATAATCTACAATATGTACACGAAAATCTATAAATATGTGTTGATTTCCTTAATAAACGATGTGTTTCCTGGCCCTTGTCTTCTGTAGTTACGACTTTACTGTCATTTTTGTAGACAGTAAAATGAACTGGCAAAATGAACAGACAAGCATAGGCTTTAATTATCGGAGATCTATGCACAAGAGTGTAAAACTTCATCTTTCCAAAGTTCTGGATAGTATGAAGATGCATTCTAGGAAGTAGTAGACTGTAAGCGTAAATGAAGACAGACAGCGTAAAAAGCTACGCTCCCAGTGATATTAAGGCAATATCGAGCACTGGTACCTAACTTCTCAAAGTACATACTCATCATGAACACTTACTGATTACATGACATCCCCCTTTACTGCTCCCTATTATTCTTTCCTGGACTACATAAGAAAGACTTTGTTTTGCTGAGAAGGGCACTAAAAGCCGTTAGTGGGGCAAGTGGGATATCGTTAAAACAACTGGTTAACACTATTGTGGATAGACATATCATGTCATGTAAGAAACTAGCGAATACAATATTGTCAGTCCCCGAGCATCCTCTCTATACGCAGCTCTCTCCTTGCATTTCATCTGGTAGAACTAGAAGCAACTATAGGAGGTTGTATGCTAGGACTACCAAGTACAAAACATCCACAATACCATATCTGGCACAGCTGTTATGTGATGAGAAATCCGTTAGGTATGACACGATCAACTTACTACGGCACTCTAACAAATAGTCCGATTAGTTTTTGGTTCCTTTCTTCGTTACTATTACACTGTTGTTCACATCTTCTATTACACACTAATTTTGTATTTAATATCCTATGGTAGATTGTTTAAAATGTAAACGCAACGCTGTTTCTTTTCCTTTTTATTTATCTTCTTTTTTGGGTGTTACTTTTTAATTTTAAAATCCCATAAAATTTATAAGGTAATTAGATACAATATATTGTAATGCACGCTGAAAATTCCATACCTGTACTACAAATACTCTTTGAAATAAAGCTATTATTATTATTATTATTAAAAGATTAATGAAACGAACCAATGAGTAAATAGCGAATTTTCTGTATAAATCAATCATTGTGAAAAGTTACTGCTGAAAACAGAGTGATCGATACTATGAATGTGCATATATGAGAGGAACTACTGATAAAATCGATACAACTCCATTTGGTTGATGTGATATGAATATACTCAAACAGACAACACGACAGATGAATAAAACAAAACATTCAAAAAGAAAAATGAAACCAAAAAAAAAATACTTTTGTGTATACCACACAGATTATATCACACTGTGCAGTGGAAAAAGAAGAACAATTCTCAAATGTATTATGTTAAACAGTCAATGTCTAAGGGGTTATTTATTGAATATTGATTTTCAAAGTTTAAATAAAAACAGTCAGTAGAACAGAGAAGCATTAGATACTTCAATAAAAAAGGTATAATAAAAATTTAGACTTGGGTTTCCAATGGTTCTCTAACCAATGTCAGCTCATGATGAAATCCTGTAACCAATCAACCAAATCCCTACAAGGCAATACTTGAATACCAATGAGATGCTCACTAGCGACTAGCCCTTTTCAGGTAAATAGTTACCTGGGGTTCTAGTGAGAAGTCGTGACCAGTAGAGTGCAGCTGGTCGGGTGTGAGGATAAATACTCGCCGAAGACATTGGCTAGGGGTGGAGCTATATCGTGAATTGGTAGAAGTTAGAATCCATGGGATGGCCATTGGATCGGGTCCCAGTGGCTTAATGGTCTACGAGCTCACCTTGTAACCAGAAGGTCCTGGGGTTCGAACCCTGGTGATGGCTGCGGGCTGATGATGAATCCCAAACTAGGCTGACGAAACAGTTGTCCAGTACTCCCAGGGTTTCCAATGGTTTTCTAACCAATGTAAGCTCATGATGAAATCCTGTAGTAGTTGAGTTTCACCCCTGATTATAATTGTTATTAATTCTTGAGTTGATTTATCATGTTCCTAAAGATGTTTTCCATTAAAATAGAGAACTTAATCTAACTGGTTTGTAGAAATACATGGTATGTGTTCTGTGATTATTAGTTAACATAAAATACATTTAGTGCTTATGTTAAAACAGTTCTCAAAGGTTCTAGATTGTTTCCTGAAGAATATCTCCGTTTTCATTCTATTTTTTTCATCTTCCAAAGTAGATGGGTGTGTCGATGGCGCAGCGGTAGAATGGTCACTGACCACGCATGTGACTCAGGGTTTGATCCCAAGGCCGACACACTCCTTTACCTCAGTAAGCCAGTAATAAGAGTGATAAAGAAGGAAGATTGGACATGAAGCAAGCATCCCCATCCCGTAAAATTAAACACCACTGCTACAGAAACTTCCAGCCTTTAGCTTGAAGCCCTATGTTCTATTGGGAATGTAAAGGAATAAAAAAAATAGTATTACTACGTAATGAACTTACCTTACTCTTTTTTAATGCACTAAATTTTCACATGAAAGATACGAAAGACGCCAGTAAACAAAAGTAGGCTTTGTTAGTTAATATATGTGAAAGTAGAATTAAATTGGTACAAAGCGAACGGTAACCAAATCAAGACAAAATACGAATAAATGAAACTATTGACTCTTGATCTAAAGTGTGTAGACTATAGACTAAGCATTTACTTAAACAACTATAGTTAATTTTACATTCTTTGTGTCTGAATTGGAACACATACCTTAAAGCATTTTTGATGTTTTACAAGCAGTGGTATTTTTTTACGATGTAGGATAGCTAATCTCATGCCTAACCTTTGCTCTACTCAAAGCTTACTCTCGGCTTATCGAGGCTTAGTAGTCCGTCCTCCAGATATTGAATCCAGCTGATGAGCATTCTGCTATTGCAAGACGGAAACATCACCAGTTATATTGGTTGAAGGGTTTCATCATGAGCTGACATCAGTTGGAGAACCACTGGAAAGCCATCTGGGAGTACTGGGCAGCTGCTTCCTCCTAGTTTGGGACTCTTCAGCAGTACGCAACCACTGGGGTTCAAACCCAGGACCTTCTGGTTACAAGGTGAGCTCGTAGACCGTTAAGCCACTGGGACCCGATCCAATGGCCAGCCCATGAATTCTAACTTCTGCTAATTCGTAACATAGCGTGACCATTTCATAATGTCTTTTTCGATTATTCACTGTCTCACCTCCACCTGCTGTAACCTACTAGTCACGGCTTCCCACTAGAACACCTGGTAACTGCCTTTGATTGGTTGGAGGATCCCGACAAAACCAATTCTTGAGAATTAATCTGATGCACACTAGCGACTGGCCCTATTCAGGCGGTTAACCTGGTTGAAGGTGAGTCAGTATTTCATCGAAGAAGACACTGTGAAGTGGTGTCGTTATGTCATGAATTAACAGAAGTTAGAATTCATGGGCTGGCTATTGAGTCTGGCCCCAGTGGCTTAATGATCTACAAGGTCGCCTTGTAACCAGAAGGTCCTGGGTGCGTACAGATGAAGAGACCAGAACTAGCTCGACGAAACAGCTTTCCAGTACTCCCTGAATGTTTCCAATGGTTTTCTAAATGATGTCAGCTCATTATGAAATCCTCCAACCAATCAAACATATCCCCACAAACCAATACTTGAAAAAAAACACCTAGTTATTGTTGCAGACTCAAAATTGATCATATAGATGTTGTATTATTCATACGTGATATGAATGTTAATACACTTAGTAGTTTGGGCTAACGGACTTTCTACCCAGTCGATTTGCGAGCTTACTGTTCTAGTCTATTGACAACAACAACAATATGATATCACCGAATCCACGACGCAGGAAGACAGACAGTTGACGTAGACAGCTTTTACTGTTTCGAATTAATAGAGAAAATGGTTGACAGCCCTTGCGTATATCTATACTTGAAAATGTCCTTGACAGACACTAATTACTTCGATAAGTCAAAACGGTCAACAACCAATAGGGTTCCAAGGTAGCAAGTGTGGGGGAAATACAAACCGCAATTCATTGTAAAGATATACTTAATATTTTTTAAAATTAGGTCTGCATAACAGTACTTAGTCCAAAATTGCTTCATTTTCTTCGCTTTTCTAATGTTGTTTTCTTTAACATTCTGATACATTTGACCGTATGGTTTTCACTTTTGTATTTTTCGTTTTTTATTTATTTTGACATGATGTGCAAACGTGATGTGTGTCAACCTCAACTCTGCAAAGTAATTCAAATTCCAATGCTCATGATATCAGCCTATCTCTATGTCTTACATTTATTAAGTTTTGGAGACCACAGTAATTAACGTGATTAAAATATGCCAGATTAAAATATTTTGTTTTGTATGAATTCTAAGAAAAAAATACATCACAGCTACTGCAATAGGGAGTGTTAATTAGTTTTAATTTTCACTTAATATGAATTGATCACTTTAACCTCTGAGTATGAAACCTCTGCTTATCTGGTTAATGAGTAAAAATCGATATGCCATACAATCATTTTTTTCTATCAAACCCCGTATACTAATAATATTAAGGTATTACTGACTCCATTCATCAACCTTTTTCAACAGCTGTACCACAACGGCACATGTCAAGTCATCCACAACGGAAAACTCAGCGAGGCATTTGGAGTAAACACAGGAGTCAGACAAGGGTGCTTATTAACTATCACCAATGATATTCCTAATTGTGGTGGACTGATTGGATTATGCGTCAGACAGTGGGAAACGAGAAACGGGACAGGGATATTCTGGACCGACGTGAAGAACCTAGGGGACCTGGATTTCGCGCGTGGATGATTTATGCTTGATGTCAGACAAAATCGAAGACTTACAAGCGAAAACCAAGCTAAAAACTAGTCGAAGAAGCAGCCAGCGAAGACAGGACTCCAGGTGAACATAGACAAGACGGAGGTGATGAAAATAACCAACCAACTAACAACAACAACAACATCCAGCGCCAATCACCATCAATGGGAGGGATTTGAAAGAGGTTACTTCATTCACTTATCTAGGGAGCATTGTCTCAACTACAGACAGTCGGAACGCACAAGGATGTCAAATGGAGAATCAGGAAGGCGAGAAACACATTCATCAACCTGATACCAATCTGGAAATCTTCGTCACTCAGCATCATCAACAACAAAATCTCGGATTTTCAATACAAACGTCAAGTCAGTCAGCTCTTCTATACGGATCAGAAACTTGGCAGGTGGGTCACAAAGAATATTTCCAACAGCCTGTTGCAGACCTTTATCAACAACTGTCTTTGCTCTATACTGGAGATCAGATGGCCGGGCCGGAAAGAATCACCAACAAGAAACTATGGGAAGAAACAAAACAAGAAGCATTCGCCAACCAACAAATATGCAGGAGAAAGTGGAGATAGATGGGACACTCGCAGAGGAGGCCCTCGAGTGGAACCCGAAAGGGTAGAGGAGAGTGGGTCGTCAATGCAAGGGTGACATGGAGAAGATCGTGTGAAGAGGAAATGAGACAGTATGGACTAACTAACATGAATGCAGGTGAAAAGTACAGCAGAAGGAAGACAGAAGCAAGTGGAGACGTGCAGTTGAAGCTCTATGTTCCACTAGGAACTCAAGGGAACAATAATAATAATAACAATTATTCACTCCGATAGTCTTAAATTTAACACAAGTTCATTCAATTAATTTTAGCTTAGCTAATGTAAATGGAGTCATACATCTAACTTCACAACTTGACGAAAATGAGACATTAACAAATTTTTTAACGACCTACGTGAATGTAGCTGCACACGTTGTTTAAATATATAAAATATATTATAATATATATATATATATATGCTTATGCCTAATTTTCCTTCTTTACTAGGCTTATTACTGGCTAAACGTGGTTTAGGAGTATATCGGCCTAGAATTAAATCCCCAGCCATTTGCTTGGTTCGCGAGCAGTCTATAGCTGAACCCACTGGCTTATGTTACATGTATATATATATCACTGCGGTATACAGTGTTGAAAGCTGATTACAACTAAAATCTCTATAAATGTCAGTCTGCAAGCTAGACTAAATGGACTTCATATTTCAGTGAGTCTAATCAATGACTGTCTGAAGTGCCTTTTTTCAATGGGAGTTGGTTTACAAAATGAAAATTAAACGATGAAAATTGTACTTAATTCTGAAGGATGTTTAATGTACCGCTACTGTTACTAAGGTTTCATATCACAAATAAAATCTTATCCATAATGAAACTCTGAAGGTAGTTTATTTACGTAAAATTAAAACTTCTAGTACCTGTTTAAAGTTTTTTGTTTTAATAGTTACGTTTAAAATTGGTTACAACCTTTGAGTGTTTTAGGTACTTAGATATAAAATCGTGAATAAAACGTAAGAGGTGGTGTTTAACAGTCCTCTGTGAAAAATAATGGAATTATATAAAAGAAGCTAGAAAGTTGTGTGATTACCTTGATATGATTATGAGCAATAAATTGTGCTCGAAACGTCATCAGTAAACATTACTGTATAACACTGTGAGACTTTATCAAAACAAATTTTACCCATAATGGCGTTAGAATAACGGAATTAAGTCACTATATTTTAAATCAGGATATCACAATAACTCTTGTTAATCAGGCTAATGAAGTCAAAGTGATTTTATCATGATTTGCAAGATATCACAAGACAAAACATGATAAATAATATATGATGTTGAAAATTAGACTTAAACTAGGTGTGAAAATATTTACCCGACAGTGATTACAAAACATATCGCCTTTACTTTCTAAAGGTATCCACAGATTCTGCCGACTGCTCTCATTCCTCAGTCCGGTCACCATTTCAATCTTTTACCTGTTAATACTTCAGTGGAGGAGACAATCCAGTTCATATACCAAATACATTTCTCAGATATTTCAGTCTGCAAAACTCCACAATTTTATCAAATTCCTTGTCTATTTCACTTAAAAATGTTGGTGCTACAATACGCTTAACCTGCCTAAGTTTCATGTGATGATTTCTTTTCTTATTCTGCAAGAGGTTGAGCTTTTCTTAAGCAAAACATTTCACTACAATTAGACAATATACAAACGTTTTACCGTAGTTTACATTACCGAATTTGTGTGAACCTCTAAAATTCTTTCAAAGTCTTATCCAAAATCTTAACTTCATTGTGACAAATACGTTTTGTACAACTAATCAAGCTTCATTAGATGATGACTCGAAAACTTCAGAAAAAAACTCACGTAATTCGTTAAATGTCTGTGAAGAATTCGTACAAACATCTTATATTTTTTTATTCTTTTTATCTAAAAAGACTCAGTGTTTTTAGGCGGTAGGTTATAATAGTCGTCAAGTGACATCACCTTTATATTCGGCTGACTGTAGCTTTAAGACTACATGGAATAACGAAGAGGATACACTTTTGCAGTATCAAAAAATGAGGTCAGGTATTTAATGATTGGCAGTACACAAGTTCACAATTACACACAGATTTGTTCCAATCTAGAGCCTCACATTCATGACATTTTTGAAAAAATAAGAAGGTCTGAAGGAAGGCCTCTTTTTCAATTTGGTAGTTTTTCAATCTACCTTGATTGGGACATTTACCTCAAAACAACTTTATAGGAACAAAACGATCAGGTAGAAAATGGTGCCTCGGTAGCCAAAAAAACACACTAGAAATTGAAAAGCAATATATCTCCCGAAACATTCATATGTAAAATTCAAATCATTGTCAACAAATTACAATGGAATGTTTCAAAAGCAGTTAATATTCAATCTAGAGGACAGAGATGAAGTAATCTACAACTTCTTTGAACGGTCTACATTATAAGCAAAATAAATTCAACAATATTTCTAGCAAAAACTATTAAAATTCTCATGGCTTACCTGTGGTTAAGTTTTTATTTTCACCCTCTGTACACTCAGTACGCGATGTTTCAAGAAGCAACGGGAAACCATCTTCAATTATTTTTCGATCATCATTATTCAAATTACTATTACTTGTCATTTTATCGCTAACATTACTTTGCCTTGTATTTGCACGCACCTCCATCTCACCATTGACATGCTCAGCATTTCTCACTTCCATGCGATGGTCTTCTCTACCGGATCTGTGGGATGATGTCATTTGGTTGGATGTTTCACTGGTTTCAACATTTTTTAAATCTAGCAATTTTATAGACTGTGAGTGAGAGATTGACTCTATGGAACGAACAGAATCTGGTTTCTGATTGTCTAAGTGTTTGTTTGAAGATTTGTTAGAATTTACATCCAAGTGATTTGAACCGGATACTGAAGAGTATCTTGATGTGATATTCAGGATTTCATTTGATTTATTTTTCAAAACTGTAACAATTATAAAAAACAATATTAAATATAAAAGTGAATAGAACGAATGCACGCGGATTATAATTCATAATAGAGTATTTTTATTAGATAAAAGAACACAGACAGATATAGTGTTTCAAGGATGTTTCAAGTACAACTTATTGCTTATAAGCATATCAAGGCTAGATCACCAACTTCTGTTCTATCAATGGCTGATGAAACATCGTTAGCTACTTCAGTGTTTCCTGTGTTATTCTTATCCCCCATGAATTTTTTGAACATAACTGACATGTTTCTTTGGTTTCATAAGGTCGATTATTTATCAAACACTTGTTTTTCCCAACTTCACTTCCTGTATTGTTTAGTTTCATAATTAATTATATGGAGTTCTTCTCTTGAACATAGTCTGCTGACATGTTTAACCGCTGATGTTATTTTGCGTGTGGTAATTCGAGTACGCAGGTGTAAATATTCAGAAATTATATGAATTTTTACACATCGAATGTTGAAAATAATACAATGATTTGTGGATTCGACTTCGGTTTGTCAGAGTCGTGTAGGTTTGTTGACAAGCTTCCTAATAAGTAGAATCTAAGTTTCATTTATATAAGAATAAAACTTAGGCACTGTGGTAGGGTATAATTTCGTAACAGAATAATTTCATTTCATAAGAACCCTCAGTGATACAGTATTATTTACTAATGACGTTTCAAGAAAAATTTATTGTTCATAATCATACTAAATCCTACATTATAATCCAGTTATATGGATTTACTACCACCTTCAAAGTTTAATCTCATAAGTAAATAAACGTGATTATATATATATAAATATATATATATATATATAAGTGAATAGTAGTAGCGAAATTTATATTTTTCTTAAATCAAACTAACTAACACAAAACACTCTAGTTAATAATGGAGAGAGGCTTAATCTGTCACAATAAAGGCACTGGGATATTTCTGTCAAACATAACTGAGAAGCTTCTTAGCACTTTTAAACTTTTCATACTTCAAAGACAGCACTTAACAATAAACATGTACACCTATTTTTATCAAGAATGTGTCCTGTGCTCCTGATAAGATTTATCAGTAGTATATAAGATATTGATCAGCATAAAAATATCAAATAGCTGACTGATATATTTGACGTCGGCGTTGCAGCAAACATGGGAGATATAAAAAGAAGACAAAAAAACGCAATACGAAGAGCAGAAGTAGCATAAAACGCAAGATCTATGCAAATGACGATTTTCGGATAAGGTGTGCATAATTTCGCTATATAGAGATACCAGATTGTCTTCCATCGTTACAAGGTAAATTCTGATTTTCGCCTTTAAAACAATTTAGCAACATAATTAAGACAACGGAAGACACACGCAACTCCAACTTCCTCATAATCTTTCCCCAATGCAGCCAAGTCCTCACGAGCCTCAGAGAACTCACCTTCTTCCATACCTTCCCCAACGTGCCAATGGACAAATGCACGCTTAGCATACATTAGGTCGAACTTGTGGCCCGGACGAGCCCAAGCCTCAGCCATCGCCGTCGTGTTGCTCAACATGCAAACAGCACGCTGTACCTTGGCCAAGTCACCACCTGGAACGGCGGTTGGGGGCTGGTAGTTGATGCCAACCTTGAAACCAGTGGGACACCAATCCATAAACTGAGTTGTACGCTTTGTCTTGACGGTACCAATAGCTGCATTCACATCCTTAGGAACCACATCACCACGATACACCATACAGCACGCCATGTATTTCCCATGACGAGGGTCGCACTTTGCCATTTGATTGGCCGGCTCGAAACAAGCATTAGTGATCTCTCCAACGCTCAACTGCTCGTGGTACGCCTTCTCTGCTGAAATGACGGATGAGTAGGTGGCCAGAGGGAGGTGGATACGTGGATAAGGGACCAAGTTTGTCTGGAACTCCGTCAAATCCACATTAAGTGCACCGTCGAAACGTAAAGATGCCGTGATGGAACTCACAATTTGGCCAATCAACCGGTTGATGTTCGTGTAAGTAGGACGTTCGATATCTAAGTTACGTCGGCAGATACCATATATAGCCTCGCTGTCCACCATTAATGCCCAGTCTGAGTGTTCTAGAGTCGTGTGTGTTGTCAAAATTGAATTGTATGGCTCCACTACGGCAGTGGCGATTTGAGGTGCTGGATACACTGCGAATTCTAATTTGGTCTTCTTGCCGTAATCGACACTCAGACGCTCCATCAGTAAAGATGTGAACCTAGATCCAGTGCCTCCACCAAATGAATGGAAAATGAGGAAACCTTGCAACCCTGTGCATTGGTCAGATAATTTCCGAATACGATCCAGGACCAAGTCTACCATTTCTTTCCCAATGGTATAATGGCCTCTAGCGTAGTTATTCGCAGCATCTTCCTTTCCAGTTATCAGTTGTTCCGGATGGAATAGTTGACGGTAAGTTCCAGTTCGCACTTTGTCTACGACAGTTGGCTTCAGATCTACAAACCCTGCTCGTGGAACATGTTTTCCAGCCCCTGTTTCACTGAAGAACGTGTTGAACGAGTCGTCTCCTCCACCGATAGTCTTATCGCTTGGCATTCGGCCGTCAGGTTGGATAACATGTTCTAGGCAATACAACTCCAAGCAAGCATTTCCCATCTGAACTCCGGCCTGGCCGACATGTACACTGATGCACACATTTTCAATAGAGCAGCAACGAGCGGAAGCCGACTGGAATTTGAGGTAAAAACGCGGCAACAAAAAACTCAGCTATAGGAGTACGTGCAACGACATTGTCAGAAATAACGTGTGTGTGACAGAGACAGAGGGAGTTACATACAAGCATACCACATTCCGAAGTCATTATGACGCACAACTCGCCTACGTCTTCTATATATACAGTTGAAGCTATTGCAATATGATCAAATAAACTGCATCATTGTCTCGAATTTCACAAAATTTTGTAATTGCATTCAGTCCAGAACGTTTTTCGCCCAAATAGTATTCATTTAGTCGCCCAATAACTAATCTGTTATTCTACGCACACAAAAATGTATTCTATAACTCTAAGAACCTGGAGAGAATTTATTGGAAAAGATACTCTTCGTTCAGACCGACCATGAATTCATGATATGGGAACATTTTACACTCCTAAAGCTCTAAAGCAACAATTTAATTTAAAACGATTAGTTCCCTTTATGAATTAAGATAAAGCAATAAGAAGACGTAATTCTCCTGGATCGTGTAATGTATTTGCGCAACACATTTCGAACAATCTGATCACACACGGACATGTCATAGGAATATATGTGAAATTAATAAAGAGTTTAGAGGTGAGAAAATAGACTTAGGTCAAGTTAAAAGGACATATTGAAGGTCAAAATAACAATGAAGACCACTAAACCAGATAGCAGAGGTAATAGTACATCTGCTATGATATCAAAACAAAATTTACCAAAGAAGGTTTAGTGTGATGACGAATTGTTTTTGAACGCATAGAGGCGGTTTAAACTTCCTAATTGCTAGGGCTTCCACAAACATTAGGATACGCCCCAAACACGTCTTATAGATAGGTTTAAAAGATGTGTTAACGTCAATTTTATGTCGTTTCTATAATATGTTTCGCAGTAGAAGAGCTAGGTCTCCTGTTCTCATCATTAATGGGTTCTAAAGATTCCATTTGTTTCTGGAACCATTTAGGAATGTGCTCTGAAGCCCTTACTTGCAGAGATTGATAAGTTCTCCCTATGTATGTGTGTCCACACGTACATTCAAATAGGTAAATACAGTGGGATGTGACATCATTTTTCGCATGTTCGAAGGGGTTAGATAGATATATTGGCTTCACATTCTCAATTATTATGATATTAGCTGCATAAAAAGTCTGTTTAACAGCAGCGTTCCGTCTTTTTCTAGTTATCAAGCTGGTTTGAATCCCCATATAGGGTAGCTTGATGTACACGTCTTTCTTATGGGCGAACTGTAGAATGGGTCTTGGTGTTCTGACTACTTTATATCTCCTGATGAGCATGTCTGGATAATTGTTATCAACCAGAGTTTGTGTCAGCTTTCTTTCTTCTTCATCAAGTATTTGTCTTCAGTGCATATTCGTTGAATTTCACTGAAGAGGCACCCTACTAAATTTTGTTTTGGTACCATAGCAGATATACTATTACCTCTGCTATGTGGCTTAGTGGTCTTCATTGTTATTTTGACCTTCAATATGTCCTTTTAACTTGACCTTAGTCTATTTTCTCACCTCTTAACTCCTTATTAATATCATACATATTCCTATGACAAGTCCGTGTGTGATCAGACTGTTCGAAATGTGTTGTGCGCAAATTCATTACACGATTCAGACAAATTACGTCTTCTTATTGCTCTATCTAATCAATTTAATTCTGACTTTATTAATTCTATCACAAAGCAGAAACTTCATCTTATTTTTGCGAATACTGGTTACCTTTGTTTTCACGCTATTAACTACTTACCACTTAGTTAACAGTTGCATCATGTGCACACACGGAGTGGAAAATTTAAAATGTCGTTGATTTTGAGTGAATTAGTTTTGTTAATTGGAGTCACAAAGTAAATGCCACAAGACTAAATCTTCAAATTCTTCTTGTTTTCTACTGTTTTGAAGCTTACACGTTTTCAGTCGCTTAAACTTAACTTAATACATCTGTGGTATAAATGATTTCTTTTTAAGATGAAAACAAATACTTGTCACCACTGACTGACTGGTTTCAACGTAGAACTTTGCACAGATGTGCAGCAGTTTGAGTCGTCACACTTCACTTGTAACACACA